GTTTTGATCTCTGGCATGCCAGATTGGGCCATCCCTACATTTCTAGAATAGAAACTATACATAAACAAAACCCCGATGTATTAGTTTCTAAACTTCTTCATTGTGATGTTTGTCATCTGTCTAAACATAAAAGAACTCCATTTCCAGTTAGCACTTCTGTTCTTCCTACTTTATTTGGATTGCTTCATGTAGACATTTGGGGCCCTTTAAGTACCATTTCTTACAATGGTTTTAATTACTTTTTGACCATTGTTGATGACCTAAGTAGATGTGTGTGGACCTATTTGATGAAATCTAAGAATGAGTCTAGACTGCTGCTGCAGTCCTTTTGCATTATGGTGAAAAACCAGTTTAACAAGAATGTCCAAATCATAAGAACAGACCAAGGGATGGAATTCCATATGAATGATTTTTATAGAGATCATGGGATTGAGCATCAAATGAGTGTGGCTTATACCCCACAGCAGAATGGGAGAGTGGAAAGGAAGCACCAGCATCTCTTGAATGTAGCAAGAGCTCTTAAGTTCCAGTCTGGTCTTCCTCTCACTTATTGGAGTGAATTTGTTCTTCATGCTGCCTATTTGATCAACAGAATCCCTACTCCTGTCTTAAACAATCTAAGCCCTTATGAGAAGTTTTATGGAGTTCCTCCTGATTACAGTTCTTTGAAAGTTTTTGGCTGCCTGGTGTATGCTTCTACAGCAGGTCCACACAGAACTAAGTTCTCCCCTCGATCCAAACAATGCGTCTTTCTAGGAATTCCTGCAGGAATTAAAGGATTCAAACTACTGGACCTTGAAAGCAAACGTGTCTTGTGCTCAAGGGATGTTGTCTTTCATGAGAACATCCTGCCTTACTCCAGCCATTCTTCTACTTCCTCACCTGCTCCCATTCCTGCACCTAGTACAACATCTCCTTCTTCTACACCCTTTATTTTTTCACCTACACTTTCCCCCAGTACCAATTTCCCAGCATTCCCTTCTGACACCAATTATACCTCTCCTGAGAATCCACAGTCTGAGGGGGGCACACAGTCTCCCTCTTCTCCTTCTTCATCTACACATTCTCCTCCCACTTTTCAAACTCCTCAAACCTCTCAAACTCATCATGTGGATTCACAACCCACTGTTTTCTCCCCTACTCCCATTTCATCTCCCATTCCTCAGCCTAGTCCTATTTCCTCTTCTCCCTTTTCACCAATACCTCTCAACTCTCCTTCTCATTCACCATCTCATGTTCAATTAAGAAAGTCAATCAGAACAATCAGACCTCCTAATTGGCATAGAGATTACCATGTCCCCCATCCCATTCACAAAGCACTCTCTTACACTCATTTGCTCTCTAAACACCAGCATTTCATAAACAGCCTGACTGCACACACAGAACCTGCTACTTATCAAGAAGCAATGCAAAACTCTCACTGGAACAAAGCAGTACAGGAGGAATTAAAAGCCTTGATTGATAATGGCACATGGGAGATCATAGATCTGCCTGTTGGGAAGAGACTAATAGGCTGCAAATGGGTTTTTAGAGTGAAATTACATTCAGATGGATCAGTGGAGAGATATAAGGCAAGGCTTGTTGCTAAAGGGTATAACCAAGTCTATGGCATTGACTACTGTGATACTTTCTCACCAGTAGCCAAGCTGAGTTCAGTCAAAACCTTACTTGCAGTAGCAGCTGTTCAAAACTGGCACTTGCATCAGATGGATGTGAGCAATGCATTCTTAAATGGTGATTTGACAGAGGAAGTCTACATGGAAATTCCACCAGGTTTGGAGATGGGATTTGATTGCAAAGGGAAAGTTTGTCACTTAAGAAAATCACTCTATGGATTAAAGCAGGCAAGTCGACAATGGTACACCAAATTGACTAAAAGCCTACTGAAACATGGCTTTCATCAAACTTCCTCAGACTATTCCATTTTCACAGCTCAGATTCTAGGAGAATTGGTGGTACTCATTGTGTATGTTGATGATATCATGATTGGAAGTATTAGCCTGGAATCTATTGCAGAAACCAAAAGAATCTTACAAGGGGAATTCAGAATGAAGGATTTGGGAGAGTTAAAATACTTTCTTGGTCTGGAAGTTACAAGAGGAGTTAAGGGAATCACAGTTTCACAAAGAACATACTGTTTGGAACTCTTAACAGAATCTGGGTTTAAGGATTGTAAACCTGCACCTACTCCCATTTATGTCAAAGAAGTTTTGTCTGCTTCAGGGGGGCTCCTTTGACTGACATTGCAGGTTACAAGCATCTTGTAGGACAACTACAATACCTTACAACTACCAGACCAGACATTGCATTTGCAGTTCAGCAATTGTGTATATACCAGGACAGTCCAACAACATTACACTTGAGGGCAGGGGCGGAGCTACACTATGGCTCGGAGGGGCCTCGGCCCCCCCCCCCCCCCCCCCCCCCCCCCCCCCCCCCCGAGAATTTTGGAACTGACGTATAAGTTGTTCACGATTTGGGAAAATTACGTATTAATAAAGTATATGATATATGACATAAGTTGAAAATTATATCACAATTGATGTTATAGTCTAGCGGAGTGGCATACTTGCATTAGGAGGTGTTTAGGGGCGGTCTGGGTTCGATGCTCCATAAAGAATATTTTGTTCATTTTTTGTTTTAGTTGTACTTGGTATGAAAATCGCATATAATCATCTAGTTTTCATATTATAGTTTACTTTTGCTGATTTTTTGTTTTACTTGTACTTGGTATGAAAATCGCATATAATCATCTAGTTTTCATATTATAGTTAAATTTTGCTGTTAGTTAAGCTAAGGATTCATTTTCAGCTCTGAAAAACAGTGCAAACTTTGTATTTACAAGTTTAAGGACTCTTTTCAATATATTATGAGTAAATTTTTTCTTGTAGCGGATAGTGCACATTGATTTTCAGCAATAAAAATAATGAAACATGTTATCATTGAAATAAATTATTAATTTTGTGGATAATTAACTCGTTCATAGTCAGAATGACATGATATATTTTTTTATCTTAAATAATATTTTAAGTAAATATAATTGTCTCAAGCATGTAGCTAGGAAAATTATAATGATAAAAATAATTAGTTTTCTTAACTTTGACAAATTGTTTTTTTAGTTTGTTTACCTTTTTCGATAATACGAACAAAAAAAATTTCGGCCCCCCCGAAGCTTGAATCCTAGCTCCGCCCCTGGGGGTTTACATAGAGTACTCAAGTATCTTAAGGGTTCACCAGGCCAAGGATTGCTTTACCCTAAGGACACCAAGCTTGAATTGACAGGTTTCAGTGACTCAGATTGGGCAACCTGTCCAGATATAAGAAAATCTATAACTGGATACTGTACTTTTCTTGGCTCAGGAATTATAACATGGAAAAGTAAGAAACAAAAGACAATATCCAGGTCTTCATCAGAGGCAGAATATCGAGCCTTGGCTAGTTTGAGCTGTGAGATTGAATGGTTAATCAGATTGTTGAAGGACTTTGGAGTGAATCATTCTCAAACAGTCAAGGTATTCTGTGACAATCAATCAGCGATTCATATCGCTGAAAACCCTGTATTTCATGAAAGGACAAAGCACATAGATGTCGATTGTCATGTCATAAGGGAAAGAGTACAGTCAGGGTTGATCTCATTGCATCACATTTCAACAGAAATGCAACCTGCAGACATCTTCACTAAAAGTTTATAAGTGGATCGATTCGCCTCCTTGTTGTCCAAATTGGGAGTATATGACATATACTCGCCAGCTTGTGGGAGGGTAACAAGGAGCCATGATAGTGATGATGATTTACCAGAAGAAAGGAGTTGCTTGACAGCAGCTAAGAAGAAGAAGTTCTCTGTTCTGGAATTGAAGAACAAAACGAAGGAAGAAGAACAGAGCAAAACGGCAGCGTTCAAGACAAAGAAGATGAAGCAGAGTGAAACGGTGACGTGCAGAATAAGTGGCACACAAAACGCAACACTTCATCAACGGACTGCCTTTCATAATTCACTGTAGTGAGGCTACGTGTACAGCTTAGATAGGTCAATTTGTTTGTTAGTTTTGATAGCCATTAAGTTACAGTAATTAGTGTAAATCTCTGTATATATACTGTTGTTTCATCAATGGAAAAGCTCAGAGAGCAAATTCCCCAGATCTGGACTTTCTTCTCACGGTGGTGCTGGGTTTTTTTTGGTACAATAGAAAATTAAAGTACAATGACTACTTAGTCTCGAAAATACATAACCGAACCGCCATTGCCATTTCCAGAAACGCAACAGAGCTGCGAAGAAGATGAGTGAGGATAAGTTGTGCCCGGTGGACAATTTGGCAATGAGTGACATAAACTGTTTTCTGTTGGATTCCTAAACTGGTGGGAATTTCTAGCACAAACTCTAAATCCTTCAAATTAAAGTAAATCTTCAATGGTTTTTGTGCAAATTCATGTGCGTTATTGTTCATCACATCATAAGTGATGATCGACATCATTTTTACATAAATCGCATGTTTAAAATGATGGTTATGAAGCGAGTGTACTGAATGCACAAAAAAAAAGTGAGTGCACCGAAGACGCCACCATATATATATACACTACCGCTAATAGTTGAGGCAGCACGCAATTTCCAACTTCGTTGATAATGAACACATGAGCCATTAATAACTTGGGGGAACCAAAACCGGTATCAGGGCAGAGAATCTGCTGATGGGATATCCTTCAACTCGTTTCATTGAGTATTTTATTGAGAGGGAAGGCCATTGTTGCTGTCAGGGGAGAAACAGAATCCAGCAAAGACGAACAAGTATGGCACAGGCAGGCATTTGCCGCGGTTTTAACTTTCGTTAACATGAATTCTCAGTACTGATCTGTCACGTTACCATGTCTTCTTTGATTCATTTTCTTATTGATTCCTGTTATCAACAGAGGGGCAAATGAGCAGAAGAGTATCGCCAAGGAAACACTAGATTTTCCTGTCCCCAGATTTAGGGTTTTGTCACTCAATCTCACGACTCAAACCATACACGAAACCCTCCTCTTCGTTCTCATTCGCCATCGAGCAACCCATCAAACCAGACATGCACAATAAGTAAATTGAACGAATAGTAACATTGTCTCATGTTCCCTAATTATACAATAACGTTATGTCATCTTTAGAGATCATGCCACATTACAAGTTACAGTCCCTGCAATTTCGCAATATAAGTCAATAAGAGAATAATCCGACTATCTGAGCAAGGGCTAATGGAATCAAAAATTTCGAAGCGATGGAGTTGTGCATCCCATACATATCTGGTGTATACGGTAGAAACCGACCATAATTCAACGGTTCTGGGTCTTGAGACCAAACAAATTCTCAAACAGTTTAGGGGCCATATCTGGAATATCCTCCGGCCGCTTAGCCATGAAATTGACTATCTTTTCGTGTACATTGTACCTACAAAACCGGCAAGTAACTTGTTATTCATGTCCGAGGACTCACCCTACAGATATGAATCCGAACTTGCATGCTTCTTTCAGTTTTCCTACCTGATCTTGCGGGACTTTGAGGCACGTCGCTCTACCTCCTTCCTCTTCTTAGTCTGAACTCTTTTTACAGCATAAAATGCCATCTCTGGTGGAAATCAATATAAAGGATAACAGCTCAGTCTAAAGTCACGAGTTAAAAAGTTTTGCAAGCAAGGAAGATATATTTGCACTGGCAAAACCAGACTCCTAATTCATAAGTATGACCTAAGTCGTAAAGATGATTGGTAATAATACACACGCAACGATAGAAACTAGGGCAGTGGAAGAGGATGCAGTCTGGAGGATGGACATAATACTAACCACTTGAGTTTGGGTCCAGTGCCTCAAAGAATTCTTTCAGTAGTTGTTTGTAAAACTCAGTATCATCAAGAAGCTCGGGGTCACCATCAGGATGCGTTTCCTATAAAAAAAAATTGATTTAGTTAACACGACAGTGTAATACTGATGAATGAACGCCTCTTTGCATTCTGTGATCAATCATGTCCAGTAAAGTGATGACAACTACCTTGCCATTAGTACTGCTTGCCTTATCTGGAGCCAGCTCACCATCAGGAAGTGTAGCCTACAAAAAAATTCAATAAGTTAACTCGACAGTGTAATGATGAATGAACGCCTCTTTGAATATTGTGATCAATCGTGTTCGATTAAGTGATAATAATTACCTTGCCATCGCGACTGCCTGCCTGCTCCGGAACCTGCCCATTCATAAACCAAGTATATACCAGAATGTGACCAGTCTGCTCAGCAGAAACAGAAAACAAAACAAGAAGCTGTAAAACAACTTACAGGCCCAAAGATGTTAACATCAGACTTTCTCAAATGCATTTGCTTAACCATTCTGCTTGGATCCCTCATATATGCAGAAACTTGTTCACTGATATTCTGTGAGCGGAAAAGAACAACCAGTGAGTTCCCCTACAAACCACACACAGAAAGCTTACTTGTAATAACTGAAAAAAATTCCAACCTGATTGAAAGCTTGCAACTTGTTTCTAATAGCTGCTACCCCAGTTGTAACTTCTGTCTTCCTCTGCCACTTGTCTATGGATTTATTTCTAAATGGAGCTACCCTACAAGACAGAAGGATATAAGTTCCTTTTAAATGGATAAATGAACGATCTCACAGGACCATCATTTTCATGCTCAAGTTAACAGAAAACTGGATGCAACTCCAACACACACAGAAGTCCGATCAGGCGAAAAGAAATTGGAAGTCCATCCATGTGCAGAAACAAAACTCAAACCTCGAAAGACATTAAATTTTCACTGACTAATAGCTAGCTTAAAAGGCTTTTGGAATGTAATCCATGTTGGATGAATCGAACTGTAAAGAGATTCTAGATATTCCAATTGCTAAGGGGAACTAATGAGTTTCGATGAACGCGACTACGAGGTTCTTTGAAGCTCATTTGATTTAATTTGCAGAGGTATTTCCATTACAGAAAAAGAAACAGAGGTAGCATTCAAGAAAACTAAAAGTTCTCATCCAGGGCAGGAGTGATGTACTCTTTATAGATCATCTTTGAAGTAAGAGACAGTTTGTCCACGAGATACCTCAGAAACAACAAGGTTAAGCATTAATGACTATGAAAGACCTGAAAGCTACTGCTATACCTTGTATGCATTTGTGAAATTTTAGACCATTCTTCATCTTCATCACTCAAGGACTTGGAGTCATCTGACTGCTTCTTCACAGGCTTCCCAACATTACCTTCAGATAATTAAAGAGAGAAATCAATTAGGCTCCAATAGCATGTAGAATTTCAGGATGTGGACAAGATACTAACTTACCATTAGATGATTGAGAAACAGAAGGATTCTTTTCTAGTAAAGCCTGCAAATAACAAAAAAACAAAAAAAACAAGAAGAGAGGGTAATTTACAGAAATATAACAGTATGAAGATTATTCAATAATTGCAACAAAGGAAAACATATTTTCCATTACAGACAGACCTCTTGCAGCTCAACAAGGGATTCCAAAGTCTTTTTGGATGATGAAATGAGGTCATCATAAGCTACTCTCACTTCTTCCTCAGAATTGCAAAATGTAGACCGAACCGGTTCCTGCAGACACGTCCGTACCTTACCATAACAATGTGAAATGCCAATGAGCGATGACAAAGGTAAATAGAACATACCAATGGAAGCCTATTTGAGGACGGGAATGCTTTCTGAAGTAACATCCTCAGTTCAAGACCCCTGTTCCAGATAGTCTGTCAAAAAAGGAAGGAAGATATGAGCATCTGGCAGCAGACTAGTCAGTTTTTAGAATGAACATATAACAGAACGTAACTAAATTCACCTTCTGGTTCTTCACCGCCTGGCCTTTAAGAACATCCTCTTCTTTATGGCGTTTCAGGTTCTTTAGCAAGTCCCTGTATGACAACACAAGGTCAGCTTGTCAATAAACGAAACAAAAACTATTAGAAGACGCCCTGCTAGTATGAAGAATAGCAATCTACACAATTCCCGAACCAAGGAATGCCAGGCCATAGTCGCTAACAGACGAAATAGATAAAAATGTATTCTTTTATAAGGCATAGTAATCGGCACCAGTCAGCTTGGATCAGTATCTATGAGCTTCTTGACATTTTAAATCGAAAGGAGATTCAAGGAGTATCAATTCATTAATAGAAAATCAACCTGGAGACATCAGACAAGTCACAAGCTCCACCTTTTCCATGGAGCAAGTCTTGGCATAAGTTTCCAATTCATAACGGACTCTGGTAATAACCAAAGAGGCTCAACGGTTCTGCTCCTATGAGTTTTCACTTGAAGTGTGCACATTCAAATGTCCAGGCATCAATTTCACATGCTATATCATTTATTTAATCCTTCCCCTGAGCCTCAAAGTATCTCTTCATACTACCAAGTTATCTAATCAGCAAAACAACCAAACTCTAACTTACAGTTCTTGATTTTGGATGTCCTTGCGTTCCTTCTCAAGATCTTCCAACTCATCATTTTTGTGATAGTCATTTTGTATTTCCCCAGCTTCTTCACCTAGCCCTTCCTCTTCGCTTGAGCCCATTTCTTCGCTTTCAATGTCATCTTGCTCTTCATCAGCTTCCTCCTCATCTTCATCTTGCCTCTCCATATCTTCGTCTTCCTCATCCTCTTCCGCATCATCAAAATCCCTATCTAGTCCTGCCATCTGCATCCCGAGATCATCATAAATAACCAATCATAAAAATGTCTAACAGTATCCGTCAAAACATTAAACCAAGACACTGCCAACCATTAAATCTTGATTCTGCATATCGTCCTGGTCTTCCAACTCATCGTCACTGTCTCTAGATTTTCTCATCTTCTTCCGAGAGGAACCCATATGTATAACCTAAATTTTCAGGATACCAAAACGTTAAAGCAGGAGATTGCACACTGTGCAGACTTTTATATGGAATATTTGAAAACAATATATTTCTTTAACAGCGAAAAGGAACATGGTCAGTGAAACCAGAAGATCATGGATCACATGAAACAGAAACAACAATCAGAGACAGAAATGCGAAGGTCTAATTCTATTGAATCAGTAGCAGAAACTCAATCCACACACACGTACAAAGGGTATACAAAAAGACATCAGGGCATTACTCCAGATTATGGGGACGATACTTACATGATTTAAAGGCTTGTCAATGGGTAGGCCTATTGGGTTTTTTTACCCAAATACCTTGACCCATATGGGTATTGGGTTTGGACCCAAATGGACCCAAATTTCTTTTTATTTTTTTGGGTTGGGTTGGGTTTAGATTGGGTCCAGAATTTACCTGTATATTTGGGCCGACCCAAATGGGTCCATTTGGGTATAAGTTAGATTTTGGTTAGTTGAAAGTCCTGCTTATTAGAAAACAGGCCCAAATAATATTTCTAAGTCTTAGTCCTGTTTACATCATAGAATAGAAGTGAATCAGTGGAGATAGTAGCAAGCAGAGGGGGTTATTGGTTAAACTTACAGTCAGTAAGCCTACAATGTACTGAATGAGCATAACATAAGCACAACTGATAGAGATCAAAGAGAAGGGGGACCTCAAATGTTTTGGAAAATCACATCACTTAAAATACTACTACCAGACCACTAAAAATCCAAAATCATGAATGGTAATGCTAGAGTAGATGCACAAATACCTTCACAGCCCATTCAAATGAACCATTTGTAATACATTCAAATCTACTGCACGACAGTCAAGTTCTCAAGTTCCATGGCAATCTGTACTTAAAAATGAGAACCCAAAAAATAAAGCATTGGTCCACAAAAAATTTAATGACAAAACCAGTAAGTTCAAATCCCCACCTCCGTCGAAGCTTCTGCCCTGCTCTCCGACACCCGAGTCTCCCGGTTGATCAACCAAACACTAACGAAAAACTCTAATCCCTCTTGGATCTTCCTTTTTTTATCCGAATCCTTCCCCTGCGTGTATGACCTAAAAACCAGAGCACACAATTCCACAACACAAGACCTACATCCAGTTCCTTTCAATCTGAAGTACTTCTCGAGTTGCCTGGTAAGTTCATTTGGGTATTTGTCCAAAGCAGCAACGCATATCCGAGCTACCTCGTCTCTTGATACTTTCCCCTGCAGAAACGATGTCTATTCAGTTAAAAAAAAAAAGGCAACTTGTTCACCCACTAGAGCAAGATTGCTCAAGTTTATCTGGGAATAGTTGGCAATAACAAACACCAAAACAAGAGAAAAGACGAGAAGCGGAAAGCTTCCTCTTGCCGCGAAGCTTCCTATGTGCCGCGAAGCTTCCTCTCGCCGTCGCCGACCCAGATTCAATTGCCGACACAACCCCGCCGTCAACCGACTGAACCGACGCAAACCCAGAACCAATATACAAAAAAAAAACCCCAAAACCAAAGATCTAGAAGAGAAGATGGGGCAAACCTGAAGATCGAGACCAGCACGAGAAGAGCGAGAGGTGGGTTTCTTCCACAGCCTCGGGGTCCGATGGTGGGAAAAAGGAGAAGCTGCCGGCGTCGGGGTCGATGGTCGCCGATCGAGAATCGGGATTGCAGGCCGGCGGCGTCTTCGGGGCTGATGGTCACTGATCGAGAATCGGATGCAGGCGGGCGGCGGCGGCGGGATACGATGGTGGAGAAGCAATCGCTCTCCTTAAGGGTATTAGGTCGAAGATGAAGAGACCCGTTTGGGTTCTGTAGAGATTTTTTTTGTTTATTTTAATTAATTTTCTGGGCCTATCTTGGACCCAATTTAATTGGATGGGTATAGGTCTGCTCCAAAACAAAAAAACCCAAAACCTGATTTGACCCAAATTCGATTGGGTTTGGGTAAAACTCATACCCTAAGACCCTACTGGTGGGAACTTTCTAGCACAAGCAGAGAAACTGTGGAATCTTGTTTTATGAGCATGATTGTTAAATTATAGAGGCCGTAGAGTCTGCAGGAGGCCGGAGTGTCTTCCACTGTGCCCTTGTGAACATTACGAATAGTTTTCAGTATGCCATGGGTGGGGTAAATGTCAGGAATTTCGAGTTTTCTGCCCTACTCAGGCCAATGAAAAGCGACAACGTAAATGTCCCAACTTCTATTTTCCACGTTTCCGGCGATTAAAACCAGGACACGAACGCTCCTTCCCTTGACAATCTGCTACTTCTGCTAGAACTATGGAGTCCAAGACAAGAGTTGAGTGGGTGGCCTTCACCATCGTCATCCTCATCTCATGCTGCCTGGAACTTTTACACTTCAATCTCCCACCTACTGAGGCTCGTGCAGCTGACGCCGGCGGCTTAGTGAGACTGAGCCTCAGGAAGCGCCCTCTCCGTCTTGAGGATGTTAAGGCAAAGGCAGCGGCAGGAGCAGGAGGACGAGCATCCTTCGTCGCCGCCGGTGATAGTGGAAATGGTGCTAGCGCTCTTCCTCTGAAGAATTACTTCGATGCTCAGTACTTCGGAGAAGTTGGGATCGGCACCCCTCCCCAGCAATTCACCGTTGTCTTTGACACCGGCAGCTCCAATCTCTGGGTTCCCTCCTCCAAATGCTACTTCTCTGTATGTATCTTCATTCTGCTCTGAGGCTTCATCTATCTGTCTATGACCTTAATCAATGATTCTGTGTATTTCTCGGTTGCAGATTCCATGCTATTTCCACTCCAAGTACAACTCTACCCGTTCAGCAACATACCACACCAACGGTAGTTTCCTTATTGTTGTCCGCTACCTTTGATTGTTTCATTGGCAAGTAACTTAAAGTTGTTTCAATCATTCATGTTCCTGGCCACTCTAATGAACTTATCACAGTATAATACAGGAGAATCTTGTGAAATCAAATATGGGTCTGGATCAATATCTGGGGTTTTGGGTCAGGATAACGTTGAGCTTGGAGATCTTCTCGTCGAGGACCAAGTTAGTATTTTGGTATCTACTAGCTAGAGCTGGCTAGGCATTGTCCATCTAGACATTTGGAGCGATTTAGGGTTATTTGCAACTCTTGAGCTTAACGGCCGAGTGCTTACTCTAATTGATCTATTGATGTTGCAGGTTTTTATTGAGGCTACCCGAGAAGGCAGTATTTCCCTTCTGGTTTCTAAGTTTGATGGAATTCTTGGCCTTGGGTTTCAGGAAATGTCTGCTGGGGATGCCGTCCCTGTCTGGTTGGTATTTCCATTTTATGGTGATCTTCCAGCGTGGTTAAACTTCTCCAAAATGATGCTCATTTTCATGCTGGGTATTATGCTAAGGTATAACATGGTGCAGCAACGTCTTGTGAAAGAGGAAGTGTTCTCGTTTTGGCTGAATCGAGATCCAAATGCGCTAGAGGGGGGCGAGCTAGTTTTTGGTGGCAGTGATCCGAAGCACTTCAAAGGAAACCATACTTATGTCCCTGTCATTCAAAAGGGTTACTGGCAGGTAGGATGGGTTAATTTAGCTTGCTTTGGTTAAATTTGATCTCCCTTTGCCTCATTGCACTCTCTAATTTTTTCTACTTTTGGACTTCCATTTCAGTTCAACATGGGGGACTTCCTGATTGGAAACCTCTCTACAGGTTTGTAGCTTAATTTATCCCTGCTGCTCTCTTGTTATCTGATTTGGTGAGCTTTAAAAAGGGTCTTAACAAAGTTTCCGGACATAATCATTAGGCGTTTGTGAAGGGGGTTGTGGTGCAATTGTGGATTCTGGGACATCCTTACTTGCTGGTCCAACTGTTAGTACATGTTTACTCCAGCTATTTCGCGAAATGTATCAAATTTGGTGGTGCCGTTTTTTCTCCTTTTGCTTTTGATTTTTAATATGGATGAACTCATTATGCATTGGAGAGTATTGTCACGGAGATCAATCACGCCATTGGTGCTGAAGGGATTGTGAGTGCAGAGTGCAAGAAAGTGGTTAGTCAGTTTGGGGACATGATATGGGATCTCTTGATTTTAGGGGTGAGTTAGTTTTCAGACACAAACACACACATGCAGGCTCACTTTCTCTCTGCCTGGGTTGGTTCACGGAGCAATTGTTATAGTGGATGATTACTCTGATCAGGTAAAACCCGATCAAGTATGTTCACAGCTTGGCGTGTGCATGTTCAATGGGGCTCAGTATGTGAGGTAATGATTAATGAACTTTGATCAGTTAGTGATGGCATGAAACGTTCAACTTTGACCCTTACCCTTAGTAACTATATGCATGATCTGTTGCCTATCTATGCGTGTGCATGGTTATTACTTGTTAGTTCTCAGATTGAGCAAGTGGTGAAGGAAAATGAGGGAGCATCAGTTAACAATGACCTTCTGTGCACTGCTTGTGAGCTGCTAGTCATCTGGGTCCGGAACCAACTCAAACACAAGGAGATAAAGGATGCAGTCCTCAACTACGTCAGCGAGGCAAGCTTTGTTACACATTTAGCTAACTCTGGGAAATAAATCCATCACTGAGGCTGGATCATTCTGTTTTTTCCCTAACAGCTGTGTGAGAGCTTGCCGAGTCCATCAGGCGAGTCCATAGTTGATTGCAACAGCCTGCCAACCATGCCCAATGTCTCTTTGACCATAGGGGAGAAACTCTTCATCCTCACTCCGGAGCAGGTAAGGATTGTTTTTCTTGGCAACTGAAGAGAGTTTCATGTCACATATGACTGGATTGCAGCAGCCTATTATTCATTCATTGATTGTTTGCTTGTAAAATGTGCAGTATGTTGTGAAGATCGAGGAAGGCATTAAAGAGATCTGCATCAGTGGGTTCATGGTTTTTGACGTCCCACCTCCTCAAGGTCCTTTGTGGTACGTAGCGCTTAGAGATGTATTCATGATATTTGGAGTGATGGAATGAAAGTATTGCAAGAGCTGAGCTCTCTAATTGCAGGGTTCTTGGAGATGTGTTCATGGGTGTGTATCATACGGTGTTCGACTCTGGTAACCTGCAACTGGGTTTTGCTGAAGCCGCATGACTAAAAGATCAACATCTCCGCATCATGGAAGGCAGGGGGATTACAGCTACTTGGTGTCGCCGGAGTACATATGCTGTTGAATAACACTCCAAAACAATGGTGCTGCAGCTTTCTACCTCCTCGAGCTAGTACGAGATGTATGTTTCGTGTGAAGAATAATAACAATGTACAGTAGTGGAGAACCAGAAGTGTTGATGCCGCATTTTATCTCGACTGTATGATCCTTATTGAATTTGATATCCCATGATTACTTGGCCCTCTGTGCCAGCTACAATTGAAACAATTATGACCTGGAAGTACATTGTACATGATGCTATTTCTCCATTGTAACAACACACCGCTATGTCTCTAGCACCACGCTTTACTCGCTATCAACATAAGAACAAAAACCATTCTTTCCAGGAGCATTTCTACTGCCAAAATAAAGCTTCGTCATCCACTCACATAACAAGTTACTATAAGTCCGAAACAGTAGGAACCAAGTGATAGTTCTGCTCTGTGTTCTTTTCTACACAATAGTGGTACACAATGTGCACTTCTTCTACAGAAAGGTGGCTCTCTGGTACATGTGAATCGCCAGACTTCCTCAATGCTCACTGCTCTTCCTCGCTATCATCGTTGAAAACAGAGGCAAGAGCCACTTTTGGCTTCTTACCAACACTAGCAGGAGTTGACTTCTGTCAAATTTCACACGATTAGTTACTGACTGACTGCACAAATGTACATTTACCTAAAATCTCAAATGAACCTTGTTCCCCCATTTCATACTGAATTCCTTGCTGAACATAAATTTGTACCTTTAAAGTGCCACTTTTAGAGGCAAACCCGAATTTCAATGCCTTGCGCTGATCCTGATCAACAATAGTTTTCACTGAACAGGAAACTTGTGCTGAAGATCCAGATTCTTCCTCTCGTGGCTGAAGCTGCTGCTGTTTATGTGCATCTGCCCTGCATTGCTTCCGCAAACAAAAACAATTACAAGAGGAAGAGATACAGATTACTGAGAAAGAACTGCCCCTTGCCTTTTACCAAAGCAAGTGATAATTTTCAGCAAAGATGTAAACAGTAAAAGACAGTGATGATTGTGACTTACATTTTCGCAAACTTAGCCATTTCTCTTTCCTGTCGCTGCAATTCTCGCTTTTGTCGATCATCCCGACTGCTACTACCATGCATCTCTCTCATTTCTTTAAATCTCTGGAAGAACATAATTTTAAGGGATTGTTTACTTTGGATGAATAAATATAGAGTCAAGGAACTCTTTTCATGAACAAGACATACAGCAGCATACCTTTCGGTGATTATGATCATATGAACTAAGGTGAACCTCGAATTCCATAGCCAATTTGTATTGCTTTTTGCATAGGTCACAATAGAACACCTTTCTGATTTCTTGCACCTCGGTTTGAATTTTCTGCTCCCGTTCTGCTAGCACCTGAATTTTAATAATTTTGCACGAAGCAGGGAGTAGAAGCCACCAGGTAATAAAAACTGCAGGAAATTCTCAAGATCTTCAAAGTTGATGTTCCCCTAAGATATATAATTCCAGTCAAAAGACACGCATATGTAATATATGCTGCCTTCTGATATTAGATTGGGTTGAGACAAGCAAAAGAGTAAATGCAAGTTATATCTTGACTAGGTAAAAACCAGGCGTACCTCACGCTTCTTTGCATGCTCTTCAGTTTCCTCAACTTCAATCTCAAGCTTCTTGCGTTGGATATTTTCTTCAGCAGTGAAAAAG